GGCGAAGATTTTGAATAAATTATATTTGTTTTTTCAAACAAGTTAATTAGAATATTACTTTGAGCTATTGCTACTCGTGTTTATGTACGCACAGTTATGTTTGTTTATATCTGCCTGTGTGTGTTTGATAGTTTTTGTACCTTTGTGTGTGTGTGCGTGTGTGTGCGTGTGCGTGTGTATGTGTGAGTGTGTGTGTGTGTGAGTGTGTGATTTATTTATTTATTTATTAGTTCATTCATTCATTCTTTTTTTTTTCAAGTAAAGCACTTTTTATTAATTTTTTTTCTAAATTCTCAGTTTTATTTCAAACAGATGGAATAATTATTCGTGAAAAATAATCGATCTTGCCAAAATGAAGACAGAAAAAATAATAATGTTAGAACTATTTTCTAATAAATTAATAAATAAATAAATATATATATATATATAAATAACTAAATAAATAAATGATTTATAATATTTTAAAAAATATTAAAATAAACGAATAAATGTTTCATAAATCTATAAAAATAACTTAAAAACGAATTTTGAATAAATCAATCTTTTCTCTCTTTCAATTTCTCTCTTTTTCCACCCTTTCTTTTTTTCCTCTCTCTCTCTCTCTCTCTTTCTCTCTTTTATTCCCTTCAATTTTCCTTTTCTTATTTGTATACTTCCCTTAAATTCTCACTGATTTTAATCAAACAACATCCATCAAAAAAATATTTGTACATACTTCATTCTTTAATTCTCTCTCTCTCTCTCTCTCTCTCTCTCTCTCTCTCTCTCTCTTTCTCATTTTCTCTCTTTTTCAATCCTCTTACCTTACGCTTCCTATTCATCACAAACTCTCTCAGTACTCAGTAATCTCCCGCCAGATCAAACTGATGTTCGAAGACTTCGATGGGGACGACCACCGAGACGATGAAAAAGGCGGCGACAGCACAGTAGAACAGGAGCCTCTCGCTGACCACAGCCACTTGTTTCCACTCGTTGTTCAGTAGCTGGCTGGTCTCGGGTTCAAATTTACTCTCCCGCATTTCTGAGAAGTATTCATATAGAGAAAGAAGGGTTTGATCGACGGCCGATTTGAATGGCTTTGCGGTTGTTGTAGTCGCGATTGACGCCGCTGCTGCTGCGTTGTAGTTGTTTTCGGCGTGAGTGGGTAGTTGTTGGGTGTCCGCGGGACTTGTGCCCCCGACGAAGGTCAACATTTTGATGAATGGGTTGAGTAGGAGCTGAGTGGGGGTAATGGATGATGATGATGGTGATGATGATGGTGGTAGTTGTGATGATGATGACGGTGATGATAAATAAAATTATTATTTAAGAAAGTAAATATCTAAAATAACGACACTAAAAATATATCAAGATAATAATAAACATAAACAGCTTTAGAATAACAAACATGAATAATTATAAAGTAATGAATATTGATAATTTTGAAAATATTATTCATAATGAACCCTGACAGTTCTGACAAGACCAGGAAGCGGATTTCTAGGATCATGGTGGTAGGCTAGGTAGGTGAAGATGGATACGACTATAAGGAAGGAGAGGAAAACCATCTCCAGCACCAAGCACCTCACTGGCCAGAAATTATAATTAATTATAATTATAATTAATTATAATTATTATAATTATAGTTGTTATTATTTCCTTAAAATAATTATTTAAGCTCTCTTAGATTTTTTCCCTCTTCTTTTACACCATATTTGGAGTTTTAAGGCCATAAAATATGTATAATTATAACTTAAAAATTTGTATAATTATAACCATAATTATAACTATAATTATTATTATCATCATAATAATATCGCAATCACGGTATTATATTACAATTTTCAATGTCTTCTGACAGCAATAGGGTAGTCTCAATAATTATTATTATTACTATCGTTATTATTATTATTATTAAAATTATAATTATTATAATTATCATTATTATCATTGTTTTCAGATAGTAGTAAATAATTTTAAAGTGTTAAAATCATAAATATAATTATAATAAATATAATATTAAATAAAATATAACATAACATAATATAATGTTAAATAAAATATAATATAATATAAAATTGAAGTATAATTATACGTGTAATTATAGTTATGATTATAACCAAATATGGGCAGCTTTCGGACGCCTGTCGGCATGTAGTTTTGGAGGGTGAGAAAGAGGATTAGCATGGACATGAGGAGCGAGATGGCTTGGAGGGATTGATTTTGTAAGAATAATAATAATAATAATAAAAATAATAATAAAAATAATAATAATGATGATAATGATTATAATGATGATGATGACGATGGTGGTGATGATGAAAATAATGATTTACTCAACTAATCAACCAAAAGCCAAACATTCAATTAACCACCCAACCAATCAATCAACAAGCAAACCATTCAAAAACCAGCCATCCAACCATCCAACCAACAAACCAATCAACCATCAAACCAGCCAATCAGCCAACATGCCAACCAACCAACCATAAACGAATCTCTGGTTATTTGCAATAGGCACCCAGAACATTAGCAGACACAAGATGGCGATTAAGATGAGAGGAATAATGAGAGACTGCCTATAGATCAGCGATCTTCTAGACATGTTTGTCACGAACCTCAAACTGTATGTATGTATGTTTGTTTGTTTGTTGTTTTGTTTGTTTGTTTGTTTGTATGTTTGTTTGTTTGTATGTTTGTTTGTTTGTATGTATGTATGTTTGTTTGTTTGTTTTGTTTGTTTATTTGTTTTTTGTTTGTATGTATGTATGTTTGTTTGTTTTTCCAAAAAATTTGTAGATACGTCATGTGGTGTGTTAGTTCATTCACCCATCCATCTATCCATCCATTCATTCAATCATTCGTTCGTTTCATTCATTCGTTCGTTCGTTCGTTCGTTCGTTCATTCATTCATTCATTCATTCATTCATTCATTCATTCATTTTTTGGGAAACTAACCTGTACCTTTCTTTTGTACCGGTGGAAAATACCAAATACTAGACAATTTTGATAATAATTTTGGTAATAATAATAATTAATATAATTATCTTATTATTAAAAACAAAATATTGAAGAATAATATTATTAATAACGCCATTGTCGTCATCATCACCATCATCACCACCACCATCATCATCATCGTCATCATCATCATCGTCATCATCATCATAATCTCCATCATCAACATCATCATCATCATCATCACCACCACCATAATCGTCATCATCATCACCATCATCATCACCATCATCACCACCACCACCATAATCGTCATCATCATCACCATCATCATCACCATCATCATCACCATCATCATCATCATTACATCTACGCGGGAGTAAGTGACTTTCCATTCTGGAGCCATTGAAAGGGCAAATAAATCCTTAGATACGTTGTACGTTACCTGATGATGATAATGATGATGGTGGTGGTGGTGATGGTGATGATGATGATGGTGGTGATGATGATGATATCGTGGTAGTGATGATGATGATTATAATGGTAGTGATGATGATGATAACGTTGGTGGTGGTGATGATGAATATGGCAAAGATGATTTTTTTTTATGATGATGGTGGTGATGAAAAAGATGATGGTTAAGGTAATTATGGCTGCCATCATCATCCTCATCGTCATCCTCATCGTCATCATCACCGTCATCATCACCACCATCACCATCATCATCACTATCATCACCTGGGTTTCGTCATCAGGATGGAAAAACATCTTCGCTTCGCAGTTCTGGCTGTCTTCAGGGAAAGTTGTGAAGTCAACCAGACAGTGCCCTTAAAAATAATAATGATTATAATAGTAATTATAATAATAATTATATTAATAATAATAATATAATTAATAATAAGAACAATAATAATGAATAAGGAGAGAATGACCACCATCATCACCACCATAATCATCGCCATCACCATCATTATCATCATCATCATTATCAGCCCCATCATCATCGTCATCATCACCATCATCACCACCATCATTACCACCATCGTCATCATCATCATCATCACCTTGATATTCGATGTATAGGGGCCATTGAACGGTGCCGTTGTAGTTGACTTTGGCTCGGTAGGTGTGGATTCCTCGGCCCTTCACCACCGTCTTGCCGGAAGAGACACCCCTGTGGTGATGATAATGATGACGATCTTGATGATGATGATGATGATGATGAAGAAGAAGATGATGATGATGGGGGTGAAACAAGCAAAATAAACAAAGAAAACGCAAAGAAAAACAACCAAAGATAAAAAATAACAACCAAAGATAAAAAAAAAACAAAGAAAATAAACCCGAGGTAAAAGTTTGGCTCCGGAAACCACATATTTCTGGCGGGCAAAAGGACTTCCTTGATCCCATTGTAGAGGGTCGGTTCCCAAGATAACCTCGTGTCAGTCCAAATCTGAATAATTTAAGGTCGTCATCGTCGTCGTCAATACGGAAATGACGTCTTACTAACTGATTGATTTGTTGGCTGGTTGGTTGAGTGATTGGTTGGTTGGTTGGTTGGTTGGTTGGTTGGATGAATGGCTGATTGATTGGTTGATCATTATTATTATTATCGTTAGCGTTACCATCATCAATTTCACAATCTTCATCATCATCATTATTGTCGTCGTTATCATCATCACCATCGTCATCATCACCATCGTCATCATCATCAAGAACACCAACTTACCAGATCTAGGTAGAGTGAGGCTTCAATAAAGTTTTCTTTGTCATTCTTTCAACGAATTTTTTTTTATCATTGTCACTATTACAATGATGAGGATAACAATAATCGCTTTTTCACTCACTCGCTCGCTCACTCACTCACTCACTCACTCACTCACTCACTCACTCACTCACTCACTCACTCACTCACTCACTCACTCACTCGCTCGCTCACTCAATCAATCAATCAATCAATCAATCAATCAATCAATCAATCAATCAATCAATCAATCAATCAATCAATCAATCAATCAATCAATCAATCAATCAATCATTCTTCAATCACTCACTCATTCACTCATTCACACACTCACCACATTCATGATGATGTATCCAGTAGGATCGACTTGGACGACAGTTGGTACGCGATAGCCATTCTTCTTGGTGATCGGTGGAAACGTATTATCGCCTCTGGACCGCAAACATCTCAACAGGTTCTGTTCTGCACTTTTCGTCGCGTTTCCATTGCACAGATCCGCTTCCGTTATTGCTGGATTGAAGGATTTGTTGGATGGATGGTTGGTTGGATGGTTGGTTGGTTGGTTGATTGGTTGGTTGGTTGGTTGGTTGGTTGGTTGATTGGTTGGTTGGTTGGTTGGCTGGTTGGTTGGTTGGTTGGTTGGTTGGCTGGATGATAGATAGATTGAATGTTAAATAGATGGTTGATTGTTGGATTAGTTGGCTGTCTGGTTGTCAGTTGGTTAAACGGATGGATGGACAACACCACCACCAACAACAACAGCAACAACAACAACATCAACAACAACACAAACAAACCTGGAAAAGCCACCAGAATCAAACCACAAACAAAAATGACCCAACTCCTAAACATGTTTTGGTATGTTTTTGTGCTGCCTTTTTAAAAAAAATACATATTAATAACAATAGCAGCAATAATTATATCTTAATATTAATTATATCATAATATTAATATTATCATCACAACAACAACAACAACCAGACAACTACCAATAAATTAGATTAAAATAAATTAAATTAAATTAAATTAACTAAAAACCTAACCTATCAGACCGAAATACTAGCACAAGAATTCAACATTCAAAAAGAAGCCACCGGTTTAATGGGCGTATTATCGCTTCATTCATTCATTCATTCTTTCATTCATTCATTCTTTCATTCATTCATTCATTCATTCGTTCCTTCATACAATATTAATTGTTTATCCTTATTAATATATATATATATATAGTTCAGTTATATATATATATAAATATTGTTTTATATATATATATATATATATTATATATATATATATATGGTTGGAGGTTGACCTAATTTGACCTTTGGTCAGCTGAATGTAGGGAGGATAGTGGTGATATGATACTGACAGGCCAGAAATACCACCATGGTAGTATAAATTTCATATAAAGTTATATACGCACATATGAACTTATATACTTATATATATATATATATATATATATACAAATACAAGTATACATATATATACACATATGAACTTATACACACGCATATAAACATACAAATACAAATACACAAATATACACATTATCTATACGTGTGTGTATATATATTACATACAACTTTTGTATGTATATTATACCATCAATTGTATGAGCGGGATTATAATGCATTGTAAGTGTTATAGTATTATAGGACGAAGAACGTGTTTGATTTAAACTGAATAATAATAATAATAATAATAACTGAGGGATTGATTTGGCAAAGGTTTATTCATGTTAGCTCTGCCTTGGCTTAGCTAGCGAAGCCGAGAAAATTTTTTAAGTTAAATTTTTTAATTTAATTTCAATGTTGGAATAAATTGAAACATTGATACTATTGTATTAATAATATCGGGTGAATTGATTGATCGATTGAATTTTCCTTTGTTCGTTCCGTCATTAATTAATTAATTAATTCATTCATTCATTCATTCATTCATTGAATGATTCATTGTCGATTGGTTGATTGATCGATTGATTCATCCATCTCTCAAATAATTACTTTATGTTGACGAGAAAAATAATGATGATAGTAATAATAATTTGATTACGAATAACATATAATACACAACACACACACGCACGCACACGCACACACGCAAATAATTATGAATATAAAGTAATTTTAAAAATAAAATACCTCCAGGTACATACTGACGAAGATGAACTGGTGTACAAACATAATTACGATATGCTTGCTATCATGGAGTCTGCCATTGCTAACATTTATTCCAGGTGAGTTTTTTGATGTAATGGAGCTTAAGACGGTTGGTTCCTCTTTGTATTGTGCGTGTGTGTGTGCGTGTGTGTGTGTGTGTGTTCGTGTGTGTGTGTGTGTGTGTGTATGTGTGTGTGTGTGTGTGTGTGTGTGTGTGTGTGTGTGTGTGTGTGTGTGTGTGTGTTAATACCTCTGACTGAAAATTAATAGACAGAGTTAATAATAATTATACTATTATTAATAATTGAGAGAGTTTATAATAATTACACTATTATTAATTATTAAGAGAGTTAATAATAATTATAGTATTTCTAATAATTGAGAGAGTTAATTAATGGAGTTAATGGTATCATTAATATAATTACCATTACCTGGTCTACATTATAATTATTACCATAATTTTTCATTCCTCCAGTCGTTCATTCCAGCGTTCATTACTGCTTGAGCGGAAATAGGTCGGAAGAGTTGAGTCCGGATTACAGGCTGCGGGAGTGCCTGGGGATCAAGGAATACACCGCTTACAGGTCTAAGGGAGCAAGTCCAACAACTGTCACAGTTGACATTAGGTTTCAATACTTTGATATCATGGATGTGGTTAGTCTTTTGTGTGTGTGTGTTTGTATGTGTGTGTGTGTGTCTGTGTGTTTGTCTGTGTGTTTGTCTGTGTGTGTGTGTCTGTGTGTCTGTGTGTGTGTGTAGGTGTGTGTGTGTGTGTCTGTGTATTTATTTATTTCTTCATTCAATCAATCAATCATCAGTCCGGTACTATTTCAATCAATCATTCATTTGTTCATTTGTTTGCTTGATCGTTGGTTGGTTTGTTTGTTTGCTTGTTTGTTTGCATTTTTTATGATTTTGTAATAATTTTGAATTCTGAATTTGCTCCGATTTCAAAAGGACGACTGGTCGAATACAATGTATCTTGAAACTAGAGTCCATTTGGTCAGTTTAGCAATCAATCCATCAATCAATCAGTCAATCAGTCAGTCATTTAATCAATCAATCAATCACTCAATCAATCAGTCAGTCAATTCAATCAACTAATCAATCAAAAAACAATATACCAACCAACTGATCAATCAATTAATCTGCTAATCAACCATCCAATCAACACCAACCTACCAATCAACCAACCAACCAACCAATCAATCAACTAACCAATCAATCAACTAATCAACCAATCAATCAATCAACTAACCGACCAATCAGAAATGGAAGGATCAAAGGTTAGCATGGAGTCCACAGTTCTACGAATACATTGATGAGATCTACACCGACCCGAACTACATTTGGAAACCAGAATTCATCATTCAATACAAGTAAAGTTCGACTTATCCATTCATCTATTTACGTCTTTCACTCATTCATTCATTCATTCATTCATTCATTCATTCATTCATTCATTCATTCATTCATTCATTCATTCATTCATTCATTCATTCATTCATTCATTCATTCATTCATTCATTCATTCATTCATTCATTCATTCATTCATTCATTCATTCATTCATTCATTCATTCATTCATTCATTCATTCATTCATTCATTCATTCATTCATTCATTCATTCATTCATTCATTCATTCATTCATTCATTCATTCATTCATTCATTCATTCATTCATTCATTCATTCATTCATTCATTCATTCATTCATTCATTCATTCATTCATTCATTCATTCATTCATTCATTCATTCATTCATTCATTCATTCATTCATTCATTCATTCATTCATTCATTCATTCATTCATTCATTCATTCATTCATTCATTCATTCATTCATTCATTCATTCATTCATTCATTCATTCATTCATTCATTCATTCATTCATTCATTCATTCATTCATTCATTCATTCATTCATTCATTCATTCATTCATTCATTCATTCATCCATCCATCCATCCATCCATCCATCCATCCATTCATTCATTCATTCATTTACTCATTCATCCATCCATCCTTCCACTCACTCATTCATTCATTCCTTCATTCGTTTACTAGTTTGTTGGATAGAGCGCGCCCGATTGACTCTCAAGCCAGGATCCCAAACGACGCTGATCCTATCGAATGGTACAAAGTCTACAACTCCAAGACGTTCTGCTACTTTGATTACGTCAGGTCGGTCGGTGATAAGAAATTTTGTCTAACTATAATAATTATATTCATTCAATTCGTTGGTTCGTTGGTTCGTTGGTTCGTTCGTTCGTTTGTTCGTTGGTTCGTTCGTTCGTTGGTTCGTCCGTTCGTTCGTTCGTTGGTTCGTTCGTTCGTTTATTCGTTCATTCTTTCATTCATGTATTGTTAGTTAAATAATGAAATATAAACTTTATTCAGGAATATCAATTATTAAATAAGATACATACAAACACACACTAACACAGACACACAAACAAACACAAACAAAAAAACATACAAATACACATACACAGGCACACACATACACATACACAAATAAACCAGCTCACACACACACAAACATACAAATACACACACACGCACCTACACACGCACATACACATACACAAATAAACCAACACTCACACGCAAAAACATACAAATACACACGCACACACACAAACATACAAATACACACACACACGCACACACAGATATCCATTCGACACTGTGACATGCAAAGTGAAGATTGAACACGCCATCGGTGATGACAGCAGCCTGATAGTCAGCAGTTCAACGGAGAAGTATGACATCGAAGGCTCAACTGACTACAAATACCTCAGTTCCAGCTCGGATATTGAGTGGAGTCTGGTTGATTTTCATTTTGAGGTCAGTCGGTTGGTTGGTTGGTTGGCTGGTTGGTTGGTTGGTTGGCTGGTTGGTTAGTCGGTTGGTTGGTTGATTGGTTGGCTGGTTGGTTGGTTGATTGGTTGGTTGGTTGGTTGGTTGATTGGTTGGTTGGTTGGTTAGTTGGCTGGCTAGTTGGTTGATTGGTTGGTTGGTTGGTGGTTGGCTGGTGGTTGGTTGGTTGAATGATTGCACAGCGCAATTTACAACACAAATGGCACAGCCTCTTAACTATTACACTATTGCGTCAAACCATCTCGCCACACGTCGTCCATTATTTGAATTTGGAAATTTGGAAAAAATTCTGAAACCATTTTTTGTTAAATGAAAAGGAGATCGAGGTTATAGAGAGGCCAGGCTACAAGGCATATTTTGCGCTGAAATTTGTGCTAGCCAGGAACTACAGCTTTCATCTGTACATCATCATCTTCCCTTCCATCATTCTCTCGGTCATCATCATCTTCATCCTCTGGATCCCGCACCATAGCAAGCAGAGATTAGTTACTGGTTGGCCGGTTGGCTGAATGGTTGATTGAATGATTGATTGGTTAATTGGTTAATTGGTCAACCGATTGATCGATCGATTTATTGATTAATTCATTCATCCATCCATTCGTTCATTCATTCGTTCATTCATTCATTCATTCATTCATTCATTCATTCATTCACAGGAGTGGGCCTCTTCTTCTCCATTCTCTTCATCACCAGCAACATCCACCGCTTCATGCCAACCGGAGTCGATAGAGTCACGTGTCTCGGTTAGTTCATCATCATCATCATCATCATCATATTAAATAATAATTATAATTATTATCATAAAAATTTTTATTATTAATTTTTTAGTTGCCTATATGGTATATTTGATGTTTCTACTGTCATCCACCATGATAATTTCGCTCTTTACCGAAAGGATGTTTTCAAGGAAAGATGGATACGTACCAGATATCATTCAGAGGGTTGGTTGGTTGGTTGGTTGGTTGGCTGGCTGGTTGGTTGGCTGGTTGGTTGGTTGAATAGTTGACTGGTTGACTGGATGGCTGGTTGGTTGGTTGGTTGGTTGGTTGGTTGGTTGGTTGGTTGGTTGGTTGGTTGGTTGGTTGGTTGGTTGGTTGGTTGGTTGGTTGGTTGACTGGTTGACTGGTTGGTTGGTTGGTTGACTGGTTGACTGGTTGGTTGGTTGTTGGTTGGTGAATTTTGTTAACATTTCTCGCATTCAGACCCAGAAACTCTGCAACAGCATAAGCAGCCGAGGCACATTAACCACGATAGCATAAAAAACAATTTATTATTATTATTTATTTATTTATTTATTAATACTGTGTTATTATTACCGTAAAAACCACACTCAGATGTTCTTCAACGGGCTTGTCAGCTTCCTAACTGGAGTCCCACTGCCAGCATCAACCTATCCGCCCGTTCAGGATCACAGCGCCATGTTCACTTTTACTCCCTATCCGACTTCCGCGTCGTCGTCATCATCAGGGATTCAGAAGATGCCATCCGGATCGTCGGAATTGAAAAAGATGGAAAAAATTATGGGCGACATTAGGCAGAATTTGGTAGGTTTGGTTTGTGGAGAACACCTGGCGGCTTGCGACGAACAGTGGAGGAGTTTGTCTCGGATGGTCGACCGTCTGGCTTTTGAGATTTTCATGCTGGCGAACGTTTTTATGACCGCTATTATTTATCTGAGGTTGTGATGGTGGTATGTT